CACACACACACACACACACACACACACACACACACACACACACACACACACACACACACACACACACACACACACACACACACACACTGCACATGATGTACATGTAAATGTACTATAAGATGATAAGTTAAGCATTACGACCAATAATTAACTCATTTTTTTGATGGGTAGGAGGACAAAATTATGCTCATTAAACTCAGAATTAATCTTATACCACTAACTGAGCCTGGCCCAGACCTTCTTTCTTAATTCCCTTTCTCTTCTTTTAGTTATTTCACGGACCAAGTTAAAGTTTTTAGGACGAGAGCTACTCGTAGACCAGTCATGTGCTGACTTGGCATATTTCCACTTTGATGAGCTTTGTAACAGGGTAAGTGATGTACATGTACTAAGGGAGTGCCCCCCACCCCCCCACCCCCCTGGGTGAAAAACCACCTCTTGTAAAAACAACACTTCCCATAACCCGAGGGTGATCTCTCAAAAGAGGAACTATATACTGTACTGTACTAGTACATTAGTAGTATAGTATAAGATGTGATTGTACAGTCAAACCTCTCTATAATGAACCCCCAATTAGCGGACACCTCTCTATAGCGTACAGTTGCTCTTGTTCCGGCTTAAGGCCATTGGGTAGTGTTACTAGTGTATAAAAGAACCTCTGTATAGTGGGACCTCTCTATCCTGTATAACAAGACGAGATTTATTGTCCCCACACATCTACACGTGTACAAATTAACCTCCAATGGATGGACACAGCCCACTCAACGGACTTTCTAATTAACGCACATCAATAAAATGGCTGATTTTCTGGTCTGATTAGCATGGGATAACCTCCGATTTAAGGACACCTCCGTATAAAGGACAGTGATGGCTGGCCCATAGGTGTCCATCTTAGAGAGGTTTGACTGTAATTGTTTTTCCATTAATAAATGATTCCTATAATATACTACATGTACATGTACATGGTTTTACCAGTATAATAGTATGACACTCAGTAAAACAGTATGCAGTATAGTACAGTATTTCCATTACATGTATGGATGTACAGTTACTTTATAGTACATGGCTACTCTTACCATGTGTAGGTGTCTAGACAAGTGTATATGAGTCATCCTTCAAGGAATGAGTGATTGTAATTCAATTAACTGGTTCCTGTATATATACTTTGTACAGTGACTTTATACTAGTACTAGTAATGATTTGTTTTTATTTGTGGTTTTACCAGTAACTACTAGTACACTACAACACACACTCACTGTACCAATGGACTAATAGACTGATAGGAATAAGGGAATTGAAGATTATTATTATTAATTTGTTGTTATTATTATTGTTGTTGTTGTTTATTTATTTTGTTTGCTATAGCCTCTAAGTGCTGCTGATTACATTGAAATATGTAAAGCATTCAATACAATATTCATACAAGATATTCCATGCATTACTAACCAAATGAGGACTCAAGGGAGACGATTCATTACACTAATAGATACACTCTATGATCATAAAGTATGTGAACTAACTATATACTGTGTGACTCTCTCTCTCTCTCTCTCCCCCTCTGAGCATATGTTTACATGTACATGTCAATGCATAAATAATTCATTAAGTGCCAAACCAAAACCCAGCCTCAATTAATAATATCACCTAATAAATAATAATCACCTAAAGCACATGGTCAAGCACATGTCAAGTTTATAGTGCCAGGAGAACAGAAACCAATACCTTCCAGTATGTAGTGGTAAGCCCAGTTGTGTTAGACAACAATCATAGGCCCTGTATAGCTAGTGTCAGCACACATGTAACTGTACAAGCCATATTGGTAACAACAGCTTTTTAGGGCAGGCAGGGAGGTGAGAGTTTGGCCATTAAAAACGTTTTAACCCCCAGTTCCAGTTCTCAAGACTGGACTGCCTAGCCTGCTGTTCACCACGGCTTCATGCTAACACAGTAATTGTAAAAGTTTGTTTATATTGTCACATGGTATGACGACAATTGGTGTCTCTGAGTCGTGAAAAGAGGGTCAATGGCGGGATGCTAGGTAGATAGC